CCCCCATACTACACCAGAACCTCCCACACTACACCAAACCTCTCACCCAAAATGGATCTCTTTCACCACACCAGGACCTCTCACACAAAACCAAACCCCACACAACCAGAACCTCTCACACACACCAGAACCTCTCACACTGCCCAGAGCCCTCATACTACACCAAACCTCCAACTACACCAAAACCTCTCACACACACCCAAACCCCTCACACTACACCAGAACCTCTCCACTACACGAAACCTCTCAAACTACACCAGAACCTCTCATACTACACCAAACCTCTCAACTACCCAGAACCCTAACTACACCAGAAAAACCCCTACACCCTAGGGTCTCTTACACACACCAGGACCCTCACACTACACCAGAACCTCTCAAACTACACCAAACCCTCACACTACACCAAACCTCCATGCTACCCAAAACCTTCACCAAAAAACCCGAACCTCTCATACACACCAAACCTCCACCACACTAGGACTCTTTCACTACACAAGGACCCTCACACACACCAGACCCTCCACACTACCCAAACATCCAACTACACCCCAAAACCCCTCACACTACACCAAAAACCCCTCCACTACACCGAACCTTCACCTACACGAGAACCTCTCACACAAAACCAAACCTCTCAAGTACATCAAATCCTATACTACACCAGAAAACCCCCACCTACACCAGAACCCTCACACACAAACCCAAACCCTCATACTACACCGAACCCCATACTACACCAGAACCCTCGACTACACCAGAACCTCTCACACTACACCAGAACCTCTACACTACACCAGAAACCCTCATACACACCAAAACCCTCACACTACACCAAAACCCTCACACACAAAACCCGAACCTCTCACACTACACCCAAACCCTTCACACTACACCAGAACCTCTCACACTACACCCCAAAACCCCCTACCACCAAACCCCCTCACACTACACCAAAACCCTCACACTACCCAGAACCCCTCATACACACCAGAACCTCTCACACTACACCAAACCCTCCCCACTACACCAAACCGTCATACTCACCAGAACCCCTCACACACACCAGAACCCTCACACAAAACCAGAACCCCTCACACTACACCAGAACCTCTCACACTACCAGAACCTCTCATACTCACCAAACCTCCCAACTACACCAAACCCTCATACACACCAGAAACCTCCACCTACCAGAACTCCACACACACAGACCCTCAGACACACCGAACCCCCCACACTACACCAAACCTCTCACACTACACCAAACCCCACACTAACCAAACCTCTCACCTACACCAGAACCTCTACCTCACAAAAAACCTCTCACACACACCAGAACCTCCCCACACACCAGAACCTTCATACCACCAAACCCCCACACTACCCAGAACCTCTCACACACCCAAACCTCTCACACACACCAAACCTCTCACACACACCACACCTCTCAGACAACCAAACCCCTCCACTACACCGAACCTCCACACAAACCAAACCTCTCAACACACCAAACCTCCACCTACACCAGAACCTCTCCCACACTACACCAGAACCTCTCAACTACCAGAACCTCTCACACTACACCAGAACCCTCACCACACCAGAACCTCCACAATACACCCGAACCTCTCACACTACACCAAACCTCTCCACCTACACCAAAACCCTCATACACACCAGAACCTCTCCCTACACCAAACCTCTCACACTACACCAAACCTCTCACACTACCCAGACCCCTCAACCACCAGAACCCCACACTACACCAAACCCCCCACACAAAACCAAACCCTCAGACTTCACCAAACCCTCAAAACACCAGAACCTCTCCACGCCCACACCTCTCACCTACACCCAAAAACCCTCACACTACACCAAACCTCTCCCCACACCAGCACCTCTCACACACACCAAAACCCTCACACACACCAGAACCCCCCCTACACCAAACCCTCACACTAACCAAACCTCCCCACACTACCCCAGCACCTCCACACACACCACACCCCACACTACACCACACCTCTCAACAAACCACCGCACCTCTTTACACACACCACACCTCTCACACTACCCAGCACCCTCACACTACACCAGCACCTCTCACACAAAACCCCACCCCCCACACTACACCACACCTCTCACACTACACCAGCACCTCTCACACTACACCAGCACCTCCACACTACAACCCAGCACCTCTCACACTACACCAGCACCTCTCAACTACACCAGCACCTCCCCACACTAAAACCACACCTCTCACACTACAACCAGCACCTCTCAGACTAAAACCCACACCTCCACACTACACCAGCACCTCTCACACTAACCACACCTCTTTAGAGATTTAAAGATATAATATATTCAGATTATTGTCACTTCCGTATTTATTTAAATTTTTTATAAATATTGTGAAATAAAAAACTCTCTTGTTTTTGTGTTGTCAGTAACACCGAGACACAAGTTGTAATGTCTCTCTAAATTTCAGGGCTATGTATCACATTTGCAAACCTTTGTAACTTGTCATGATTGTGCCCAACTTACCGGAGTTCATTACCTTTGTAAATGTGAGTTCTTTACCTTTTGGGAAGGGTGAGTTCATTACCTTTGTAAATTGTGAGTTCATTACCTTTGTAAATTGTGAGTTCATTACCTTTGTAAATTGTGGAGTTCATTTCCTTTGTAAATTGTGAGTTAAATTACCTCGTAATTTGCTCAGCTATAAAAACTTTGGAGTCCAGCCCCTGGCCCAAATTTTATGTACCTCTGTAATCTTTTGACTACCGCCCACAGGATGGTATGGGGTGCATAAAAACATATTAAACTAACAAACCTGTATCACATTTGCTCTCGTGTGTTTCAGTATAAGTAATATAGTTTTTTCTTATAGATTCATTTTACTATTTCCAGCAGATGTTCGTTTTTGATCTAGGATTTCCCTGTTTTAAAATTGAACATTAATTTAAGTTATATCACAATTGTTCGATCATCTCATGTATCACTTAATGTGTTTTTTATTAAATATTCTGCTTACTTTATATGATTAAGTAATATAATCATTGTGGAGGTGAATGCTTATACTAAACTCAGTCGTCAGAGTGAGTTGGAGGACCCAGCACATACCAGAATGAAATTGATGACGAGGCTTTAGTCCGACTTGAACCATTAACTAGTCAACAGTTCAGGTCGGACCGCAGCTCCGTCGTAAGTTTAATTCTCCTATATGTGGGTTATTGTGCATTACTGCAGCGTCATACACTGCTGCAGGTAAGCATGTGAGAAAGCAGGAATATGCTAGAGGCAGTAGTGAGGGTGGGAGGGGTGTGCGATGGCAGGATTTACTGGAGGTAGCAGAGAGGGCAATTCGGTGTAATACACTAGTTTGTGTTTTAAAGGCAAAGAAAATCCCCATGAAAAGTTTGATTTTTAGCCAAGAGGTCAGAGTGTATGTTGAGGTGGAAGAGACGTTGGAAGTGAATCCTGCTTGCCTGCTGATAGACAAGACAATCTATTAAGATAAGGTAGACTGACAGTACTAACATACAGTCCTAGACGTGAGCGAATCACGTAGTCACTACATAAGCGGGAGTGTGTAGTCTCCCAACCACAACAGTGCTGGGAATGCTAAGTGTGGTTTGACAGAAAACAATTGTTGTGGTCTAACTTGGATCAGTGTTGTTGCCAGCGGTTGCAGAGTAGTTGAGAGATCACTAAAAAATAATCTGAGGAAGGAATACCTTCGTGAGAAATCGGGAGGTCATGAATAGCTGATCAGGCAGCCGAGTCTGCTTATTTATTGCCCCGAACAGAGATATGTTCAGCGACCCAGAAGAACACGACTTCTTTGTGCTCACTAAATGTGACAAAACGAAAGCTGCATGTGAAGGAATATGGATGAATGGAATCAATTTTCTGAAAGCTTGTAATGTTGCTTTGTATAAAAAGCAGTGAGAATTGCATATAACTCGGGTTGTAAATATTCTGGCCTATTTAGTAAATGATTTGGATTATTCTTTTAGGCAAAAACAGCTAAATACCCGACACCACTGGGGAATTTAGAACCATCAGTGCACACTGAAGTAACATGAGATTGAGTATGGAAATATTCAATAAAAAGTGAGTGTGAGGTTACAGCAGTCAAGTGAACTTTTGCACACGGAAGTGAGAAGGTGCAACATGAATCGTCTGATCTTCTCAAGGAGGGATTGGAAAAGTAAGATCCAGGGTAAACGTAAAGGGGAGACAGAGGAAAGGAAGCCAGTAGAGAGTGAATATGAAGAGGACAGAGGCATAACAAATGAAGGCGACGTTCACTACACAAACAAAATAAGAGAAACAATGGGCATAGCATTGATCCTGCAAAGACGAGGTGTTTGTCTGTATGTATAACTACAAGCTCTCGACCGAGGAAAATTGCAAGTAATCGAAACATAAACACAAACCTTGATGATGAATGAAATCAAGATTAGAAAGAGTAGCGACGGAAACTGCAAAGTAATTGGTGTAATGAATGGTTCAGAGAACCGACAAGTTGATAAATTAAACGCATGTGCAACACTTAGGTATGTTAATGAGGAAACGTTTCCCCACACAGTGGCTTCATCAGTCCATACAAAGGAGAAAGGTGAAGAACATGAGAGTTTGAGGTAATCAATCCCTCAGCCTTGAGTCGATATTGTCAGTCCATCAATCTTGTGAAGAATACAGCATATGAGCGAAGTAGCAGCTTATATACCGTAGGCAGGAGAGGTACAGCAGTCGCACGTGGTGTCACATTTGTCCAGTAAGGAAGCAGGTCGTGCCCAAGGGTTAGGCAAGTGAAGAATTCCCTGTATTAAGATCCCAAGATGTTGTGTCCTCATTAAAGATACCCAAGTGTTGCACATGTGTCTAATTTATCAAAGTGAATTAGGACTGAATCCCTGTCTGCCAACGCGGGGGCGTTGATCCCCGAAACTCTCTCCAGGTAAACTCCCTGTCTACCTGTCCTGCAGCACATGCAGGACCTACGTGTTATGTAATGCCTCTATCCATATCTTTTCCAGCACATTTACGATCAATGTTATATTGTCCCTCCTTCTACCTCCATGCAGCATATGTAGACTCAACTGTTAAGTTATTACTGTCTGCCACTACTGCAGCACACACAGGAGCAAATGTTATATTATCCTCCATTTACCTCTCTTACAAGACGTGTAGGGCCTACTGTCTTATATTATTCTTCTACCCATCGCTTCAAAAGGACACAGGATCGGCTGCGTTATATGATCCCTCCATCTACCTCTCCTTGAGCACCCGTAGGACTTGCTGAATAATATCAGTCTCTCCTACAAGACATCTTGGACCTGCTCTGTTATATTATTTCTCTGTCATACAGGACAAGTAAGAACTGCTATGTTATATTACAATTTGCCTACCTCTCCTTCAGGACACATAGACCAGCAGTGTGTTTGCTGTGCCTCAGTTTAGTGGAGTGTGACCGAGGTGCAACCATTGCTCTATTCTTTATAGCGATCATCGTACAAGGTGGAATATACACAGGTTTATGGTCAACCATGTGGACATCGCGCCCAACATTGCTGGCACACTCTTCGGTATCACAAATGGTGCTGCCACAATACCGAGCTTCATCGCTCCCGTGACTGTGGAGCCCTCACAAATAAAAAGGGTTTGTGAGACGAGATTGTGCCATAAATACTCCACTGAATGATCAGTTGATTATCACTTTATAGTTTGTTGAAACATTAAACTTGCCCGGGAATGGGAGCAATCAGTTTTAATCCAAGGAAGGGAAGAATAGCTCTAATTCCTTGGATGAAGAGCCCTTCACCAATATCAGGTCCATTTTTGAAGGGCAAGCACTCCAAATTAAATAAGGAGCATCAAACATTTTCACATTAATTATTGTTCTCATAACCTAACGAACAGATGAACACAAAGTTATTGTTCGCTCTGTACCACAATATTTGTCTGATATATTAGCAACCAAATTACTAAATGTAAAAAGAAAAAAACGTTTCTGGTTTTTCGGGTGTCCGTCCCTCGTGGAAGGCGGTCGGGTAGTAACCAAAATATCGGTTTGTCTTACAAATAAAATCAGAATTTTACATTTTTTGTGAGTATCAATCACATGGAAAAACTTAACTTATATTAATGGGGAAGTCCAGAGGATTTACACTGGGCGGAGAGGCCACTCACTGCCTGCCATCGAATTAAATCTTGAAGTTAATTCACAGAATTTCGAACCTTAGTTAACATATATAATTATTTTCATTGGAATTATCTACTTAACTTTTTTCGCGCTTGATTTTGATTATAATAATAATAATGTACAGTACCTGAAGAACAACGGAATACAATCGTCGTAGATTCGTGGACTTTATGATTTAATAAATGGAAGAGACCAGACAACGTTAAATATAAAGTTGTGCAGAAGATTCATGAGTTTGAACTTCAACAAAATAAATGGGAATTTATTACACTAATCCCTTTCCACACATGGCAACATTAACTGTTGATTAGTGGTAATACTACCATGAATGCCTTGATCAGGAGGTCACTCCCAGAGTTATTGCCAATGCCAATTGGCGGTGTTTATATTATATCAAAAACACATCTTGTACAGCTCACATGGGCGCTAGAAATTAGTTGTCGATTCTAAAATTCCATGATCACCTTCTTGGCTCAATTTGGAGAATTCTCTTGTCTTATAACTTGGGAATTCTATTGCATAACAAAATAATACTGTTTTAAGCAGTAGTATTATGAAGATGATGTGTTCCGTCAAAACATCTGCTAGATAGATAAACGAGATGTTTGTGTAACATTTGGGAATCTTTATTCTGGAAACGCTTCGCCACGAAGTGACTTTTTCAGTCTAATCAGAGAAAGGTGGGAAAACGAGGGGTGTGAGGTTG